ATTTTATCATTGTTTTATACAAGTCTTTACATTAATAAGAGCTTGAAGTATTTTTTACTCAAAAAGTGTTGAACTTGTGATAGACGTGATGACCCAAATTAATGATGTATTATACAATATAGATTTGATAACACTCAAGTAAGGCAAATATGGTTGTGAATGATCAAGGTAGAAAATCTCTATTTTTATTACTTGGAAATGTTACACAAGAGTGATGGCTGTTTCTTAAGATAAAGCAATTTTTACTTGAGATAATTCCATCATATAACAAATAACTATTCAACTAACCATGGTCGATTAGATTCTTACAGTCTAAATGAAAGATGATGAATTTCTATAGTTTAAAGAGAAAGTACACAGTGGGTTGAAACTCAAGTTCACTATTAATCAACTCTGCATCTTAAATTTTTAGGGTTGGTTATATGTTCAAAATAAGGTTTGAATTTAATAAGATATACTTTAAGAAGAGTGCACTACTTTATATTTAACTTATTCATTGGAGCATAAAGATAGTTCAAGATCTCAAGAAGTCTTTCAGGTGGCCTAATATAAAAAAATGTTGTGGTAGATTTTATAATTATGTGTTTTGACTTATTAGATAGTGAAATCAAAATATTAGACATTTAGTAGTTTATTATGATATTTTTTTTCTAGAATGAAGGTTAATGGAGATCACTAGAGACAATTGAAGTTAGCTTGCCTATGTGAAATTAAGGTTATGAAGCAATTTGAGTTACGATTGATGAACAAACAAAAATATCACATTCTTAGCATTCAAATAGAACTGCTTAGTGAGAAAGCTAGAAAAGTTTTCATGGATCATATTAAGTGATTAAATAGAATCCTACATATCATCTTGTTAGATTGAGATGGATCTTGTTCTTATAGGTTGTGAAGGAAAGTGAAAGAAGTTTTGGATATGAAGTTTCAGAATAAAATGCATTTCAACCTTCACTAAGCAAAAAACACCATTAAAATATAAAAATTCTATTGAGAATTTATATTCTTAACCTTAAAGGTAGCTGAGAAAATTATACTTCATTCGCAAAGTTTACTTGTAATAATAATTTTTAAGCTACTATTGTCATGCAATGTACACGTCTCTTTATAATAAGAAATGTGAATCTCTACCAAGTTAGTGTAAGGTTGGCAAGCAAAAACATTTATAATATTACTCATTGGATCAAACCATTGAGAACATATATTAGATTTTGGAATAATGAGATTAAGTTCAAGAGCATCAATGAAAATATTTTCACCCCAAGTATAAAGAAATTGTGCTTGAGATTTGAGATCTCGTCTTTCTAAAGATTTGTCCAATATGAGGAATTATAAGATCTGTCATGAGTGGAAATCATTAACCCCACTTTATGTATCCTTTTGAAATTATTAAAAAAACTTGAAAAAGCTTATTATCAAATTTACCTTTTCTCTTATACCTGCAAGTACATAATATTTTACATGTCTCTTTACTACAAAACCATGCATGATGAGTCTCACATTATTCATTTCAAACGATTGATAATTTAATAAGATTGAAGTTAAGAAAAGGTACCAAAGGATATTTTAGAGTGTTATTTTTATCGTCTTTATCAACAATCTATTCCTTTTATTAAAGTATTTTGGATGAACCAGTTATAATAAGAGCGTTTTAAATATAAAACAAGACATGATGTCAAATTATCTGTAGTTTTCCTAGAACTAAGGTATAAATGTATGGATTAAGTTATTTTAAAGGGATACTATTTCAACCTGGGATGGGATTGATTTTATTGAATCAAACTAATCTAAAATAGAAAAGTTGCTCCAAACCATCAAAGCACTTTTGTTTCACATGACATAGAGCCTTCTCTCCCTTGCTTACTATTTTTGTAATAGTTGTAGGTTATCTAATTAACATAAATATTATGTGTGTTATCTTGCTTTTGTGGCTTAGGGTCTTCATTTAAGAAGAGCAAGGGATAGAGTTCCCTTTTCACCTCCTCATCTTTCTCCAATATAGACACCAAGCTCCTTTTGTCCTCCCAATGTATTTTCACATGCCTTTAGTGAAGCAGTATTCTCCTTTAGCTCTAACTATTTTGATTGTGAGATAGTTACCTACTTCCCTATCTATCTTCTTCTTCTTTAAATGAGCAACAAATTTAGTAAGCCTTCTTTTCTCCCTCCTCTCAATCTCTTTCTTCCTATTATTTCTTGTCATGTCTTTTTATTACTATTTCTTAAGTTTCCCACTCAATTTAATAAGAAGAATTTAGTTTTCGTTAATTTTTATTACATTATCTTGATTTAATAGATGCAAGAAAATAAATTAATGTTTGAAAGTAATCAAGCTTGAGATAAATTTTCAATTTAGTTTTTAATTATTAATTTAATTTGATTTTAATGATGATTAATGTAAATTGAGCATGAAGTAACTATATCATCAAATTTAAATAATTTTAAACTAATTATTACCTCTCAATCTCTATTTTTATTATTGATGAAAGTGTTATTAATTATGAGTTTTTTATATGAAGGATGTTCAAGTTGAGTTTTGTTAATGGTTATTAGTTGAATCCCAAATAAATTTGGAGTTTCATATTACTCAATTCAAGGCAAAATAATTATTATTCTTAAGGGAAATATGTGACATTCTTTAGTAGAGGTGTTATTCTTTATATTTATATTAGATTTTAAATTACTTTTGGAGGTTGTTATTTTCTTTTTTTTTCCTCAAATTTTTATTATACATTTATCCATGGATTTTTAATGTTTATATTGATATATCAAGTACCATGGATAGTTTTGTTTTGATATATTGTTGTAAAAATTTTTGAATTGATTTATTGTTATACAAATTATTTAATATTGAATTGATTCTTGTAAAATAAATACTTATTTTTCATGCATGTTATTTTTTAATGTAATAAATTCTAGTACTGCACCTCAAATAGTGATATGTAAATAGCACTACTTATATTATTTGTAAAAATATCTATTGAAAATATGCATATAATATGTAACATTGTTATACAAATGTGCAATAATCTGCAAATTAGTGAAGATTTTTTTAATATTGGCTAACAGGGCTAACAAACTCACCAAGTAATGAATTTATTAGAAATTATTGAATTATTATGAGTTGGTATTTATCTTCTAGTATGAATGTCTTCATAAAATTGATTATCGATACATAAATAGATATACAATAGAATGATAAATGATAATTGAGTCATTTTTAAGATTATGTGTAATAGATTGAGTATGGATATATTAGAATTGAATTTTTTTGTTTATAGTTTATCATGCAGATAATCATGAACATCATCATACCATAAATCACCTTAAAGTATTGGACATTTTTTAATTAGTTTTAGCAAAATAATTCGACAACAATCATAGCTTGGTAATATGTAGTAAATGATGCCTTTTTTTTGTTCATGATGCATACTTTAGTATCCTCTTATTTATGCTTTAATAAGTATGAGTGATTTATGGGATTAAATTATCAAAGTAAACTCATGTTAAATGTTTCTATAATTGGTTCTATTGATGTACTTAGTGGACCATCATAATTAGAGTATATTTTTCGCTGGTAATCTTTCATTTAATATTTTTAAAACTATATTGTCATATTTTTATGCATATTTATTTTGAGTTTGATTCATTTTATTTCTACAATTACTACCTTTCCATTCTTTTCATCAATCATTATTATTATTTATTTGGTCATTAATAATAAATATTGTATTTCTAAACTATAATATTCATTATTTTTCTTTATCAGTGCTTATTATTTATAACAATTTGTACATGGCTTGTGACTAAAAAACATATTTTAAACCCGTTGTGGCTCTTGAAATTTAGTTTAAAAGTTGTGTTTAAAATTTTCATCACACTCTATGTTACTAGTGTGTATCGTCTGTTGAACTCCATACTGAGGCATATATTGAATTTCTCCCAAATTTAAGCCATTATATTGCAGCAGAGTCTTCTTCGACTTTAGGAAATAGTGGTGGAGATTTTAAATGAGTTTAGATTTATAATTTTCTATTTTCCTAATTTAAGTGTGAGAAATTTTAATACATTATATATATATATATATATATATATATATTTTAATTCATTCAATTGTTTTAGTTCTCTTTTGAAATTCATATGTACAATCCTCAAATCTTAAACATCAATATTATTAATTTTTAAAATTGAGATACAATTTTTTATGTATTGATTTATGACAACTAAATGCTATAAATATAAACATATAAATTTGAGGAGTGTTTGTTGTTATATACATGAATTTCTCTAATATTTAAAAGGGGCACTCATATATATACCAAATAATTATTCTGCATTTGTATATCTAACATGTAAGCATTCATATTTACTTGCATACAGCTCGAATCATTAACATCATATTAAAAAAAGTATCACATTCACGAAGTGAAATATGTATTTTTATGCATAGGTTTATGATTCCAAAATGTTAAAAATATCAAATATTAAATTTAGGCTATGGATATGTGAACACATAAGAATCATGTGGTATGTATGCTTTCCCATTTAATATTATGCTTATTCAAATTTATGTTTCATCCATTTTTCAAAATTACACTTAATTATTAAAATTTATGGTAAAACCCGACCGACATTTTTCATTTTTATCAAATTCTCAATAATTTGATCTCATACGTAAATTATAAGTAACTTGAACCACTCCCATCAATGATTATTTTCAAAATTACACTTAATTATTAAAATTTATGGTAAAACCCGACCGACATTTTTCATTTTTATCAAATTCTCAATAATTTGATCTCATACGTATAAATAAATTATTTGGAGGATTAATTTATAAATTTTAATATTTTAAATGATCTATATGTAATTGTCCCAAAATTATAAGTTACTTGAACCACTCCCATCAATGATTGCTATTTTGATGGAGTCATAACAAAGCCAAACCTTGGAACCTCCCCCATACCTCTATGCCTCTCCGTCGCATGCGAGCAAATTTAAATTTACCCAGAGAAATTAACTGGGTGGACCCACACGAGGGTAAAAACGTTAATTCACATCTTTACCATCCACTTTTTTTCTCCGTAAAGCCAAAATTTGACCGTTATGAGAGGGTACAAATGTCATTTAATGCAGAGCTCTGCAATCCTCCTTACCCTCCTGCTTCTGCCGCTCCTCGCCTCTCCCATCGACATCCACGCTTAATCGCATTTACGCATCTCCTTTTCCCCTGCTCTAAAAATCCCTTCTTTCCCCTCTTTACCCTGTTGAAGAGTCCCAACAGTTGCACTGAGGTGAAGGAGAAGAGGAAAAGATGGACTTCAGTTCCTTCTTGACGTCGCTGGGGACCTCCTTCGTGATCTTCGTGCTGCTGATGATGGTCTTTACATGGCTGTCGCGGAAGCCGGGGAACCAGGTGGTGTATTTTCCGAACAGAATCTTGAGGGGGCTTGATCCATGGGAGGGGGAGCGGCGTTCGAGGAGTCCTGTGGCTTGGATTCAACAGGCCTTTGCTGCTTCGGAGGCCGATATCGTTGCAGCCGCTGGTGTTGATGCTGCTGTCTATTTGGTTTTCCTGAGCTCTGGTTTGATTTCTCTTCTATCATTTTCTCCCTTTTTTTGTTTTTTTCTGTTTGGATTCCATGATTCGAAGACAAGAATCTTCACTCTGTTATGTGATGTTATTGAAACTGATCGTTTTTCAAAGAATTGAAACTTGGTGGGTGGTTGGGGTTTGTCATTTGCATAAGGATTTTTCTCTCAGCGTCCAGAAAAGAAAAGAAAAAGGAAAAGGAAAAGGAAAAGGAAAAGGAAAAGGAAAAGGAAAAGGAAAAGGAAAAGGAAAAGGAAAAGGAAAAGGAAAAGGAAAAGGAAAAGGAAAAGGAAAAGTGAAGACGCATTTCTCTTTAGAAAAAAAAATTGAAAATGAAAGCAAAGTTAGGATGCGTTTAAAGTTGAAATCTTCAAGATTGCACACCATTTTAGCTTTTTTTTTTAATGGAGATATTTGATTTTATTAAAGTGTGCCTTTTCATTTGTCTTTCTTTCTTTATAGAAATTTCTTTATCCTTTCTTACAGTTTCTGAAGTAATGGAATGTAAATGGAGTGATTGAATCTGAATTGTTCACTTTTTAAACTCCTATCTGGTTCTGTTGTTGTGTATGCATTTAATTGAATTGAGATGTTATGATTCTTTTTAAATTCTAAAAGCCTTCCATCTTATGGTGTAGAAGACTTCTGAAGTTTTTAAGTTTTTGATAAACGTTGTGATGTAGATTAAGGAACAATAATGTCATTTTATTTGGGGTTTTATACTTTAAAAAATGAAATTAAAACTAAGGGCTTGTTCGGGATCAATTTTATTTTTTGCTATTTGATTTTTATTTTATTTGAAAAAAATTTTATTGTGTATGCATTTAATTGAATTGAGATGTTATGATTCTTTTTAAATTCTAAAAGCCTTCCATCTTATGGTGTAGAAGACTTCTGAAGTTTTTAAGTTTTTGATAAACGTTGTGATGTAGATTAAGGAACAATAATGTCATTTTATTTGGGGTTTTATACTTTAAAAAATGAAATTAAAACTAAGGGCTTGTTCGGGATCAATTTTATTTTATTTGAAAAAAAATTTAACATGTTTGTTTACTGCATTTTTTGTATGTTTTTATTTTTTATTTTCAAAAGTAAATTAGCCTATTTAAAGAAAAAATTAAAAACATCTATAAGTTGTTCAGGGTGTTTTTAGAAATAAGTGAATATTTTATAACATGCCAAATATTTTTTTATTTCAAGTAAAAATATAACATAACAAAATAAAAATAAAAAAAATCAAAAGTGATCTCAAACAACCACTATTTTAATTGAATTGAGAGGTTATGACTCTTTTTAACTCTAAAAGCCTTCCATCTTATGGTGTAGAAGACTTCTGAAGTTTTTAAATTGTTGATGAACGTTGCAATATGGATCAGGGAACAATAGTGTCATTTTATTTGGGGTTTTATATTTAAAAAAAATGAAACTAAAATTTAGTGCTAATTTGGAATCACTTTTATATTTTGTTTTTTTGTTTTTATTTTATTTAAAAACATTTTTTTAAATGTTTGTTTGCTGCATTTTTTATATATTTTTAATTTTTGTTTTCAAAAGAAAATTAGCGTATTTTTTAAAAAAATAAAAAAAAACATCTATAAGTTGTTTGGAGTGTTTTTAAAAATAACTAAATGTTTTATAACATACAAAATATGTTTTATTTCAAGTAAAAATATATTAGAAGAAAATAAAAAATGATCTCAAACAGCTCCTAAAAACTTTGGCGCCTCGAAGATTGGGCATGCTTTTAATTTTTTGGTGCCAATATTTGATATTGTACACACACACACACACACACACACACACACACACACAAATCTATTGTTTTCACCTATTGCCCTATGATTGAAATTTCAACTAGCTGTATATTTAAGCATATGATAATGCTAGAGAACTGTGATTGTTGTCTTTATTTTATCCTTTGAGAGTAATATGAGTTTGTCTTCGAGATGAAATTTCAAAGCATATTTTCCTTCTTCTTGGTAGCCAACTTTGGGCTATGCTCGTGATTATGTGCTTGTTTTGAGGGAAAAATTGTACCGTTATTTGTTGGATTAAAACAGAGGAAAAAGGAAGCTTAATGTCACGGACAAATAGTCTCACATCGGCTAGGTGTAGGGCCGAAAAACAGTATTTAAGTCCTGGGTTGCCCACCACCCGTAAAGGCTCTTTTGGGATGTGACAAGTGGTATTAGAGCAGACTACTGCCTATCAGGTGTGTGGACTCTCCATGGTTCAGTGAGACCGTCGATCCGTGACGAGGGCGTCACGTGATTTGGTGGAGGAGAATGTCACGGACAAATAGTCCCACATCGGCTAGATGTACTGCCGAAAAGTAGTATTTAAGTCCTGGGCTGCCCACCACCCTTAAGGGCTCTTTTGGGAGGTGACATTAAGCTTCTATCCTATTTAATATATCATTTAAATACTTACCTCTACCTACTCATTTATGTTGCGCTCACCAACTCTTTTAGAAGCATTATGAAGTAGCTTGTATTCATCAAGCTGGCTGTTATGTATTCGTAGACACTAGTTAAAGTTTTAATGCTTGTGCTGTTGAAGTTGTCTTCTGGAGTGGGTGTGGGATTGAGAGGGCTCGAATTCAAACCTTCCTTTGAAAAAGAATAGCCAAAGTGAAAGATCTTGTCACTTTTTTGCCTTGCTTGATATTTCATAGCAATTTTGCATTTGTTTATTCTTGTAGGACTTATTCCTATTAGCTTCAGTCATAAAAAAAAAAAAAAATTTAACGTAAAACAATATGATATATGTTGATAGGCTCGATACTTTCTACTTGGTGATATTAATAACTCAATGAAAAAGAATTTTCCAGGATATTCTAATATCTTTTGTATCTCGATGGATTCATTTTTATGGTTCTTAGTTTTCATAAGTTATGTTTCACCTATCGATACAACTAAATCATTAAATAGTATACCTAAATTATTCGATAAATATATTTAAACTATTAGATATTACAGCCAACCTATTAAACAATTTATATGTGTAATCATTACAAAAAAAACTGTATTGTGAATGTTTAATACTTTAGTTGTTCTGTCTAACACTTTTGTTCTATTTATCTAATAGTTTAATTATATTGTTAAATAGATTTTTTTTTTTGTGAGGTAATATGCGGCGCCTGAAATCAAGGACACTTGTCAAAAAAATTATGATGTATCTGGATATTCTAGTATAATTTTTTTACTCAAATAGATTTGTTTGGTGATGCAGTGCTTGGAATATTTGTCTTGTCTGGCTTAGTACTTCTTCCAGTTCTTCTTCCTATTGCTGTAACTGATCATGCTAATAAGACCCTTGCTGAGAGCAACAGTAATGCCACCTTCAACAATCTTGATAAGTTGGCTATGGGAAATGTTCACGTAAGCTTTTCATGCCACCTCCTTGATGGATCTCTTTTGTGTTGATGCTTATGTTTCCATGGAAAATTAAGAAGCTTAAATAAGATATTTCAGATTGCGATTTGTGTGTCAATTTGGTGATATGTATCAGTAGTATGGTGTGCTACAAAATGACTATGCAATGTTGTTAGGTGTGTTACATTATTACTTACTATGTTGCATAATTAATTATATTTATCATGCATGGTGTGATCTTTGAATTATAATATTGGAAGTAAAAATGATATGAGACATCTTAAGGCTTGTTTGGTGTCCATTTTGTTTTCTTTTTTTTCATTTTTCTTATGTTTTTAAAAACCGTGTTTGTAATGTATTTTTTACTTGTTTTATTTTTTATTTCTAAAAATAAATTAACATCTTGAAATACTCGTAACATAACAACTTTTAGATATTTTGAGTATTTTGAAAAACAAACTTATCTTAATCAAATATGCCGAATATATTTCGTTTCAAATCAAAACATAAATAAAACAAAAGGAAAATATAAACTATAAAATATAAAACAAAAGTGATCCCCAACCACCTCTTAGGTTTTAGGATTTATTAATGTGACCTAAGATGAAATGCACAACTGAAAAAAAAAATCATAATTTATTGGTTGTCAATTCTCAGCTTTAGCAAAGATTAGTTGCCTTTGCAAAAATAATATAATATGCTTATTTCATTACAAACAATAATATAATAGTCAACAAAATTTAAAATCTCACAAGAAAAGTGATAAACTATCAATATTTTAACAATGATTAAGATTCAAAGTCACAAGGAATTTGGCATATATCAAATTTATAAATAATTTAAGATCTAAACCCCATATTAGTATTCGATAAGCATACTATAAATGTTGTCAAAACCTATGAAGCACTCGAAGAATGAGTGCACAAGCTGTCTTGGGGTCTTTATGAGATTTTTTTTTTTTCGTGCTTTGATTTAAATTTTAACATATTTGATTGAGGTGGTGGTTTAAAAAACACTCAAAATCTTTTTAGGTGTTTTGAAAATAAGTTTATATATATATAAGAAGTATACCAATCAAAAATGTCTTGAAAAGTAAAAATAAAATAAACAAAATTGATGCCAACGGACCCTTAATTGTTGAGTGGATGCCCCCCCCTCCCCCCTCCCTTTTTTTTTTTTTAATTTGTGTTTGGATTTCTCCTCTTTGTAAAAGAGCAGGATGATGAGAGGAGAAAAAACTGAAGTATTGAGATTGCAAAAGAAGCCTAGGAGCCATGAGTATGTTACAACAATACCAATCAAAATTTGGCTCATGAAAAAGATTTGTCTAGGTGCAGTCTTCCTTGTATGCTAAGGATAAGACCTCCCTCTGAATCTTTGAGCTTAATTGGAATCTTGTAGCCAAAATCATTGCTTGGACCAATGGTCTCAATATGTTATGCGTGGAGTTGATATGCTTGTGAAAATGATAAGCACCTTATTTCTTTGGCTATATACAGTTTTGTAAGCATAAATCATAAAACTTTATCACTTGTTTGCGCATATTTTAGTGCCTTTTTTTTCTTTTTTTCCTTTTGGATCCCAATAGTATTTTACAAATAGATGCAATTTTTTATGAACTTGCTCCAAGAAGAATGCATCAAGATCTTCTCTATAAGAGCAGGACATCTAGGCTTCATTGGAACATATTCTTTTTTCTTACTATAAATTCTGTGTTTCACTAAACCTTACAGGCCAAAAGTTCAAGATTGTGGGCATTTTTTCTGGCAAACTACTGGGTCTCATTTGTGACTTTCTATGTGTTGTGGAAATCCTACAAGCATGTGTCTGATCTAAGAGTTGCAACCAGATCAACTCCAGTAGTGAGACCCGAAGATTACACGGTTTTAGTAAGGGATATCCCTACAGATCCTCAACATGTAAGCAGGAAAGAACAGGTAGACTCCTATTTTAAAGCACTCCATCCAGATTCATTCTACAAGTCCATGGTGGTCACAGACAATAAACAGGTACTTTCCTGATGTTACTATCATTGATTTAGATTTCTTCACTGTTGCTATTACTGTAACTTCATGGAATTGGGCGATTGATCATTTAAATCTGTGTTCTTTAGGCAAATAAAATATGGGTAAAGCTGGAAGGCTACAAAAAGAAGCTTGCTCGGGCAGAAGTGATTTTTGCAGAATCTAAAACCACAAGCAATCCAGAGGGAACCAGGCCAACTAACAAAACTGGCTTCCTTGGTCTTATTGGTAAAAAGGTGGACACCATCAACTACTGCAATGAGAAGATTACTGAGTTAGCTGCAAAATCAGAGATTGAACAGAAAAAAACCATAGAAGATAAACAGCAAGCTGCTGCTTTGATCTTCTTCAGCAGCAGACCAGCTGCAGTTTCAGCCTCCCAAACCCTTCATGCTCAAATGGTGGATACTTGGACTGTTACAGAAGCACCCGAACCGCGACAGTTGGTTTGGAATAATTTAAATAAGAAGCTTTATACAAGGCTGATAAGACAGTATGGTGTCTATGCTATTGTTTTTCTGACAATAGTTTTTTACATGATTCCGATAGCCGCAATATCTGCATTTACAACCCTACAGAACTTGAGGAGATACCTCCCCTTCTTGAAGGTAATTGTTGACCAGAAAGCAGTTAAGACAATCTTGGAAGCTTATCTTCCTCAGCTTGCTCTCATCATATTCTTAGCATTCTTACCAGCTTTTCTTCTATTCCTATCGAAAGCGGAAGGAATCCCTTCTCAGGGCCATGTGATCAGGGCTGCATCTGGAAAGTATTTCTATTTCAGTGTATTTAATGTCTTTCTTGGAGTTACAGTAGGTGGGACATTGTTTGCTTCTTTGAAGATCATCGCCAAAGAACCAAAGAAAATTGTGAATTTATTGGCAGACAGTTTGCCTCCAAATGCAACCTTTTTTGTGACATATGTTGCTCTGCAGTAAGATTCTAAACATTTATTTGTGAAGTACATAAAGTATAAGATATTATGAAATATCTTTTAATTCAATGTGTTCCCTGTGCTGCAGATTCTTTGTAGGGTTTGGTCTGGAGCTTTCTCGCCTGGTCCCTCTCATAATATTCCATCTCAAGAAGAAATATCTGTGTAAAACTGAAGCTGAAGTGAAGGAAGCTTGGGCTCCTGGAGACTTTGGTTATGCTACTAGAGTTCCTGGCAACATGCTTATCATGATAGTGGTCTTTTGTTATTCAGTAATATCTCCCATAATTATTCCCTTTGGTGTTATTTACTTTGGCCTTGGTTGGCTTATTGCACGCAATCAGGTACTACATACCATAACTACTTATATGGCTTTGACCTCCTGTTATGATTGATGGTAGAGAATAATTAGTTATTAGAAGAGTGGGGGGTTCTAAGACAGAGGATAAGAAGTAGCATAACCAATAAGGTTATTACAATACACTTGGCTTTGTGGGATTGAAGCCGGACGTAGAGCTACGTCCGGACTCTGTATCTAAATTTTTTTCCTAAGACAGATGGTAAGTACCTTTAGTTTTTAAAATATAGTATAAGATTTTATTACCGGTAAAATGTATAATTTGACCATAAAAAACTAGGTCTGAGCTTCTAATTTGGTGAAATTTCATATATAATTTTCGAATTAGTATATTAACAGTAGGAAAAATTAATCTAGAAGTGATTATATTACAGAGGGATTATGTAAGTATCACTTGTTAAAAATCTAACAAATGAAGATTAGAGTTTGAATGTTTGGGCATGTGCTATAACAGGTCAAACTCAAATCCAATCCAAACCCCAAATCCGAAATCAAATTCCCATTTTCAGTCTCTAATTGTCAAGCCCAAACCTTACAATTTCAAGATCTTAAGACTCAAATCAAAATTTAAATTGCAAACCCAAATCTAGATTGTTGGTTGCTTGAAGTTTGAATGAAACTTATGAAAAATAGAATTATGTTCATGTTGAATTACATCATGATTAATTAATGAATGGTGGGGGATGCATCAAAATGTATTTTAAAAATTGACATTTAAAATTTAATAATGATTTTAGAACATTTCTCTCTCTATATACAGGCATTGAATGTCTATGTTCCTTCATATGAGAGCTACGGGCGCATGTGGCCTCACATGCATGCACGAATCCTAGCTTCTTTAATCATCTTCCAAGTGTTAATGCTTGGCTATTTGGGTTTGAAGAAATTCTACTATGCTCCCGGAATGATTCCTCTTATCATATTATCATTCATCTTTGCTTACACATGCAACAAGCGCTTCTATCCATCTTTCTCTAATACTCCTTTGGAGATGGCATGCAAGGATACAAAGGAAATCCTCAATCTGGATTCTGTCTATGCTGCATATATTCATCCGTCTCTGAGGCCAGAGAAGCCGGACATTGTCAATCGATTCGGCAACGTTGAGGCGAACGTTTTGGCACAATCGGATACCGTATGATGTGAATATGTAATGCTATAAAGTGTTACTTTTATAGGTTTGTCTTGGTACATTTTGTAAGTTATAATGTTAGGTTGAGTTTTAAGGTGTTGTGTTCCTTGACAATTTCTAGATGTGTTACAGATTTTCATTTTTAGCTCATTATGCAAGTGATGGTGTGGAATCATCTGTATGGTTGTGTAGTGGTTGGTGGTGTGCTTGGTTGCTATGGCTAAAGAACTGGTTGGTGGTTGGTATGAAGTTTGAAGACTTTTTGAGTCTTTGGTTCAGATTATTGAAATTCTCTGAAGTCTAAAACTTGACTTTTTTTTTTCCCCTTAGGATGCAATGGAGAAAAAGGATTCATGTAGCCGACTCCACGTAGTGGGATTAAGGATTTGTTGTTGTTTTTCTTGTTGGTGAATACTTGAATAAGTAACGATTTCTATTGTCATGTTTTTTTTCTCTTGTTTTCACATTAGTGAGCCTAGAGAAACACTGTCATGTAGGGTCCCAAGTCTTGTATGTGAAAAATAGAGGGTTGCGTTAGGTTACCGTTAGCCACCGTAAATTTTTTATTAAAAAATCATGACATGAATCCTTTAAGTCATAAATGATTTTAATATATTAGATTTAAATAAAAATATGACACTCAATAAGGCACAATGGGGTAAAATGATTCATGTAGGCGACTCCACTAAGATCTTAGTTGTCGTATTAGTGAGCTTGGAGGAAAATGGATGGAAAATGGTTTTGAATGCAATCCTTATGATTTCAACTCTCTTGAACTTTTTTATTGTTTTTTTTTTCTCTAAATTTATGAGGGTTCATATTCAAAACTAATTAAGAGTAAAAGAGGAGTTGTTCCTTCATTCAAAATACATTAAATATTGAGAACTTGAGCAACAAAAAAGAGTTATTATATTATTCAAAATTGATTAAATATTTAGAAATTCGTCTTAGATGGTTTGGTCACATTAAACGTCGACCATCTGATGATCCGATTAGGAGAGTAGATGTTTTAGATTCGACTTGTGTTAAGAAAGACAGAGGTAGACCTAGGAAGATTTGGGCTTATTGTATTAAAAATGATCTTAATTTACTAGAACTAAATGAAAATATGACACTAAATAGGACGCAATGGAGAAAAAGGATTCATGTATCTGACCCCATGTAGTGGGATTAGGCTTTGTTGTTGTTGTTGTTGTATTCATGGTTAAGGCTTTGTTGTTGTTGTTGTTGTTGTATTCATGGGCTTGCGCAACTACTATTATAGTAAATGTGGCATTCCTAGGCAAGGACATGTGATTGAAAAAGTGAACTCAGCTTGAAACAAGTTTTAGAAGTTAAAAATAACTTGAGAAAAGTGTCAAAATGGTCCCTAAAGTCAAAATTAATTTGAGAAAAGTGTCAAAATGATCCCTCAACTATTTAAAGATAAGGGATTTTAGTCTTTGACTTCTAAGAAGTGTCAAATTAGTACTATTTTAAGAGGGGTTGAAGTAGTCGCTCCATAAAAATAAAAATAAAAATCTAAAATTGGGGTTTATGGTGTTGAAAATAGTGGTATTTTTTAGTTATGTTTTTTAGGAGGTCATGGGCCAAAATTCAAGAATATAGATGTTGGATATGTATCACGTAATTATGGATATTTAAATATAACCAACATAATAAGATTTGTTTAAATATGATTATTTAAAAAGTTTCAAATAAGCAAGTACATTAGTTATTTGTTTAAATATGATTATTTAAAAAGTTTCAAATAAGTAAGTACTACCTACAATCTTCAAGGGATATTAATGTAATTTTATTAATATTTTTTATAATTATAACAACTTTTGAGTAATTATATATTACTGATGAAATTAAAGACATTTTTATTTTATATTACTACTAGCTAGTTGTTTAAAAATATGCATAAACAAATTGCATGCCCGAATTAATATACAATGAGTTGTGTCTTAGGTCCCACTTAATATATATAAATAACATATTTTAAATAATAATGACTTCGAGTTAAGAAAATGTTTGAGTTAATAAAATGTGTTTTTAAGAAATTTCAATACAATTGTAGAGTTTAAACCCATATTTTCTAACTGCATCTACAAATATGATAACATATTAAAAAAAAACAATTTATAACTTCAATCAACCACCACCACTAAACAAACCATTACGAGATCTATGTGATTTTTCATATTTAAAGAATATATATATATATATATATATATTCACTTCAAACTTTGACAAAACTTGCTCCTATTGTAGTGTATAAAATAAAATTGTTACATTTTCATATAAAAAGTCACTTCAAGCTAAATATTCTAAATTATAACAAGAATGGCTAAAAGAAAAATCCTTGAATCATAAATAAATAAATAAATAAACAAAAATCATCGAATACATTAACAAAAGCTCACACCTAACAATTAAATTCTTGAATTTTGGATCATGACATCCTAATAAAAACATAATTCTAAAAGCACTCTGATTTTAACACCCTAAATCCATTTTTTTTTTAAATGGCGGGACTAATTTGAGCCCTCTTAAAATAGTTGGGGACTAATTCGACACGTTTTAATATTCAGGGATTAAAATAACTCTCTGTTAAATAGTTGAGGGACCATTTTTGGCACTTTCCTCAGATTGATTTATATCCACTTTATACTTGCAATGAAAAAGTTAATGAACAAGTAATTATTAACAAGACAATCAAGCAAAAGAAAATAAATACTATTTTTCATTAATAAAAATCATAACAATAGTATATTAAGGAAGCAAAGCAACAATTAATGAAGAAAAGTAAAAGTAACAACTACAAAAGTAAAACAACAAAAAATAGTGATTTTAAAATGTTATTTCATTCATTCAAAATGAATTAAAATTTAGGAGTCATGAAGTTGTCATAGTCATTAAAGAGGATCCAAATTGATAAACCATCAGCTTCTTAGGTGATTTGTAGTCAAATGATCCAATTATTCAATCAAATAGCACTAATGGGGTTTATATCACAAAAATATAGGTTAGTTGATCATTGGACTAGATTAGACCCATTTGAACCCTAGAATGACCCAATAGCATAGTCATTAAAGAGGATCCAAATTGATAAACCATAAGCTTCTTAGGTGATTTGTAGTCAAATGGTCCAATTATCCAATCAAACAACACTAATAAGGTTTATATCACAAAAATATAGGTTAGTTGCTCATAGTTGATCATTGGATTAGATTAGACCCACTTGAACCCTAGAATGACCCAATAAGATCTAATTAGGTCAACTTGAACTAAATCCTATTTTTAAAATAAATAATATTGGCTAATCTATGGAATATAATAGAATCTAATTGGTTAGAGATAACCATATAGCACCAAATTAAATCGTTCTTGTAACTTGATTAGACTTTTGAACCCAAACAGTAATGAACTAATATGACCCACATGATCAAATCCACCAAGTTTAATAAATAATATTGGCTAATCTATGGAATATAATAGATTCTAATTGGTTAGAGATAACCATATAGTACCAAATTAAACCTTTCTTGTAACTTGATTAGACTTTTGAATCCAAACAGTAATGAACTATTATGACCCACAGGATCAAATCCACCAATTTTTTCGAACTTATTGTTCTTAAAAGCTTAGAAAAAATTAGTTGATCAGTTATAAATAACTTATCCATAATTTCCCATTGATTGGGCTAATTATTTCATTTGGCCATGTTTAACCAAATTTAAGCCAAATAAACTTTTAAATCAAATAAGTTAATTTAATCAAATTAATTTAAATATATTCCTCTATTTAACTTGAGTGAATTCCTCATAACTACAAGCCATGGGTTTTGAGAAATTCATTTGAGTTTGAAGTGGCTATGAAAATAAGAATCTTTAAAACCTTATAAACCCATAGGTAGTTTTTGTTTATGGAAGTATTAGGGTAACAATGAGATGAGATAAGCTCATTACTTGACAATCCCAAGTCCTCTCTAGCCTTCCGTTGAATTTATTTACTTCATTTCTCTAGAAAGATAGAATTTTTATTGAGTTCCCCTGTCTTCAGCAAGGGAAATAAGATAGTTTTGCCATAGTGTTGGAACTTATTTAACTAAGATTTAATGATTGATATTAACACTAGTTAATTTTAAAGGCATTTCTTAGGATTTTAATGTACATTCAAATCAAACTACATTGAATGAAATTTTGACCAAAATTAGAGCATAGCATGTACATTTGGTGGGAAATCTTTCCCATCTATTGATATGCAATTTTCCATTTTTAATTTTTAATTATTAATTATGCAACATTTTATATTTAAATGAATGTAAAATGATGGCATCTCAAAGGAATATTCTTTAAAAATGATAATTTTCTTAAAGCCTGGTAAACATTGATTGGAAATTTAGGCATTTTAACAAATATTTCACTATTAAAATCCTAAGATGAATGTATAAAACTAAAAGATCTAAGAGAATTATGAAGTGCATATGATACATTCAGAAAACCTCTTCAAATTATTTTAATTTTTAAAAGTTAATTTTAATATATTTAAAATAAATAAAATTAAATTTTCACTTTTGAAAAATATAAAAAAGTCCAAAATTAAAAAAAAAAATTAGAGCGTATATACTTTGAAAGAAATGTTTTATAATTATTTTTAATTTTAATTTTCTTATCCTCATATATTTTATATTTTTCATTTAAAAAATCCTAGTTTTCAATTTTCCTATCATCAAATAATTCATTTTCATGCAATATTTTTCTTGCTTCATACATGGTTTTCACTCTAAGCATCATTTTGAGTTGATGCAAATCTTCTCCATATAATAGAGAGTTTTTCAATACTATTTAGTATTTTTGTATGAACAATATACCATTGATGATAACTATAATAAAATATCAGGTAATTAAAAAAAATCTATGACAATTTAGGAATGATTTTTGAAAGCACATAAGTATATGTTCTTAGTTTCATATGCATTGAGCGAGTATAAAATCAAGTTAAATAATTTTATTTTTAAAAAACTCTCTTCATAATAATGAAAAATACAAAATTTATCTTAATATTGATTACCAATTCTTAATTTGAATTCTCAAAGGCCAAATATAATATCTCAAATATTTTAATTATTTTCAATTATGTGATAGTTTTTCTATTTTTCGCCCTTTGGGTGATAATTATATATATATAAAAAGTATTAAATAGTTTAACTTTCAAACCTATTGAGTTTAATTTTTTTTTTTTAAGTTTGAGTTTTCAAAACATCAATATCTAAATTTAAAAATTAATTT